CACAAACCAAGCACCAACAACTGTGACTGCTACACCAACAACAACTGCTGCACAAACAACCACAACTCAAGCAGCAACAACTGCAACTGCTACACCAACAACCACAATGCAAGCACCAACAACTACAACTTCTACACCACCAACCACAACTGAAGCACCAACAACTACAACTGCTGCACCAACAACCACAACCCAAGCACCAACAACTACAACAGCTACAAAAACAACTCAAGCACCTTCAACTACAACTGCTACACCAACAACCAAAACTGAAACACCAACAAGTCAAGCACCAACAACCACAACTGAAGCACAAACAACTAAAACTGCTACACCAAAATCCACAACTCAAGCACCCTCAACTACAATTGCTCCACCACCAACCACAACTAAAGCACCAACAACTACAACACAAGCACCAACAACTGCAGCTGCTACAACAACAACTACAGCTATAGCACAAACAACAAGTCAAGCACCAACAACTACAAATGCAGGACAAACAACCACAAACCAAGCACCAACTACTGCAACTGCTAAACCAACAACAACAAGTCAAGGACCAACAACAACTGCTACACCAACAACCACAACAGAAGCACCTACAACTGCTGCACAAACAACCACAACTAAAGCACCAACAAGTCAAGCACCAACAACTACTACTGCAGCACTAACAACATCAATTCAAGCACCAACAACTACAGCTGCTACAACATCAACTACACCTAAAGCACAAACAACAACTCAAGCACCAACAACTACAACACCTATACCAACAACAACAACTCAAGCACCAACAACTACAACTGCTGCACTGAAAACCACAACTCAAGCACCAACAACTACTACTGCTGCTACAACAACCACAATTCAAGCACCAACAACTACAACAGCTACACCAACAACAACAACTCAAGCACCTTCAACTACAACTGCTACACCACCAACCACAACTAAAGCACCAACAACTGCAGAACAAACAACTACAAGTCAAGCACCAACAACTACACCTGCAAAAACAACAACTGCAGCAAAAGCACAAACAACAAGTCAAGCACCAACAACTGCAACTGCAGCACAAACAACCACAACACAAGCACCAACAACTGCAGCTGCTACAACAACAACTATGGCTAAAGCACAAACAACAAGTCTAGCACCAACAACTACAAATGCAGGACAAACAACCACAACCCAAGCATCTACAACTACAACTGCTGCACAAACAACCACAATTCAAGCATCATCATCTACAACTGCTGCGCCAAAAACCACAACTCAAGCACCAACAACTACACCTGCTAAAATAACAACTGCAGCTAAAGCACAAACAACAAGTCAAGGACCAACAACTACAAATGCAGGACAAACTACCACAACCCAAGCACCAACTACTGCAACTGCTAAACGAACAACAACAAATCAAGGTCCAACAACAATTTCTACACCAACAACCACAACAGAAGCACCAACAACTGCTACACCAACAACCACAACGCAAGCACCAACAACTACAGCTGCTAGAACATCAACTACACCTAAAGCACAAACAACAACTCAAGCACCAACAACTACAACACCTACACCAAAAACCTCAACTCAAGCACCAACAACTACACCTGCTGCACCGAAAACCACAACTCAAGCACCAACAACTACTACTTCTACACCAACAACCACATCCCAAGCACCAACAACTACAACAGCTACACCAACAACCACAACTGAAGCACCAACAACTACAACTGTTGCACCAACAACCACAACCCAAGCACCAACAACTACAACTGCTACACTAACAACCACAACCCAAGCACCAACAACTACAACTGCTACACCAATAACCACATTACAAGCACCAACAACTGCAACTGCAGCACAAACATCCACAACACAAGCACCAACAACTACAGCAGCTACAACAACAACTATGGCTATAGCACAAATAACAAGTCTAGCACCAACAACTATGACTGCTACACCAACAACATCAAGTCAAGCGCCAACAACAACTGCTACACCAACAACCACAATGCAATCACCAATAACTTCAACAGTTACACCAACAACCACATCTCAAGCACCAACAACTACAACTGCAGCACCAACAACCACAACTCAATCACCAACAGCTGCACCAAATATCACAACTCAAGCACCAACACTTACAACTGCTACACCACTAACTACAACTAAAGCACCAACAAGTCAAGCACCAACAACTGCAACTGCTGCACTAAGAACCACAACCCAAGCACCAACAACTACAACACCTACACCAACAACCACAACTGAAGCACCAACAACTACAACTGCTGCACCAACAACCACAAACCAAGCACTAACAACTACAACTACAAAAACAACTCAAGCACCTTCAACTACAACTGCTACACTAACAACCACAACTGAAGCACCATCAAGTCAAGCACCAACAACTACAACTGCAGCACAAACAACCAAAGCACAAGCACCAACAACTACAGCTGCTACACCAACAGCCACAACTCAGGCACCTTCAACTACAACTGCTATACCACCAAACACAACTAAAGCACCAACAAGTCAAGCACCAACAACTACAGCTGCTATAACAACAATTATGTCTAAAGCACAAACAACAAGTCAAGAACCAACAACTACAACTGCAGGACAAACAACCACAACTCAAGCACCAACAACTGCAACAGCTACACCAACAATCACAATGCAAGCACCAACATCTGCAGCTGCTACAACAACAACTACAGGTATAGCACAAACAACAACTCAAGCACCAACAACTACAACTGCTATACCAACAACAACAACCCATGAACCAACAACTACAACTGTTGCACCAACAACCACAACCCAAGAACCAACAACTACAATAGCTACAACAACAACTCAAGCACCTTCAACTAAAACTGCTACACCACCAACCACAACTGAAGCACCAACTACAAGTGTAGCACAAACAACCACAACTCAAGCACCAACAACTGCATCTGCTACACCAACAACCACAACCCAAGCACTAACAACTACAACTGCTGCACTAACAACCACAACCCAAGCACCAACAACTAAAACAGCTACACCAACAACCACAACTCAAGCAACAACAACTACAACTGCTACGCAATCAACCACAACACAAGCACCAACAACTACAGCTGCTACTACAACAACTACAGCTAAAGCACAAACAACAACTCAAGCACCAACAACTACAACAGGTACACAAACAACCACAACTCAAGCACCATCAACTACAACTGCTACATCTCCAACCACAACTAAAGCAACAACAACTACAACTACAGCACAAACAACCACAACTCAAGCACCAACAACAGCAACAGCTACACCAACAACTACAACAACCACACCAACAACCACAAATCAACCACCAACAACTACAACTGCTGCAACAACAATCACAACTCATGCACCAACAACTGCAACTGCTGCACCAACAACCACAACCCAAGCACCAACAACTACACCTGCTACACCAACAACCACAACTCAAGCACCATCAACTGCAACACCAACAACCACAACTCAAGCACCAACAACTACAACTGCTACAACTGCAACTAAAGCAAAAACAACAGGTCAAGCACCAACAACTACAACTACTGCACAAACAACCACAACACATGCACAAACATCTGCAACCGCTACACCAACAACCACAACCCTAGCACCAACAACTACAACAGTTACACCAACAACAACAATGAAACCACCAACAACTACAACTGCTGTACCAAAAACCACAACTCTAGCACCAACAACTACAACTGCTAAACCAACAACCACGACTCGAGAACCGACAACTGCAACTGCTACACCAACAACCACAACGCAAGAACCAACAACTACAGCTACTACAACAAAAGCACAAACAACAACTTATGCACCAACAACTACAACTGCTGCACCAAAAACCACAACTAAATCACCAACAACTACTACTGCTACAACAAACACAACTCAAGCACAAACAACTACAACTGCATCACAAACAACCACATCTCAAGCATCAACAACTGCAACTGCTACACAAACAACAACAACCAAAGCACCAACAGCTACACCAACAACTACAACTGCTACTACAACAACTGCAACTAAAGCACAAAAATCAATTAGTCAAGCACCAACAACTACAACTGAAGGACAAACAAATACAACCCAAGCACCAACAACTAAAATTCCTCCAACTGCTACACCATTAACCACAACTCAAGCACCAACAACTACTACCGCTACAACAACCAATACTCAAGCACCAACAACTATAACTGCTACTCCAACAACCACAACCCAAGCACCAACAACTACAACTGCTAGACCAACAACCACAACTGAAGCACCAACAACTACAACTGCTGCACCAACAACCACAACCCAAGCACCAACAACTACAACAGCTACAACAACAACTCAAGCACCTTCAACTAAAACTGGTACACCACCAACCACAACTAAAGCACCAACAACTACAACTGTAGCACAAACAACCACAACTCAAGCACCAACAACTGCAACTGCTACACCAACAACCACAACCCAAGCACCAACAGCTACTCTAACAACCACAACTCAAGCACCAACAACTGTAACTGCTGCACTAACAAACACAACCCAAACACCAACAACTAGATCTGCTACACCAAAAACCACAACTCAAGCACCATCAACTGCAACTGCTACAACAAAAACTACAGCTATAGCACAAA